TTACCCTGTAGGAAGTAATGTCGTCAAAGGCGATCCCTAACTTTTGGTTCGAGCACCGCAAATTTTCGCCCTCCATTCCGGACATCTCTCGTTTCTGTTACTATTTTTGTTGACTTTATTGTAATCCACTGAATGAATAGCTTTAACAGTCGTAAAACCAATCGAATGCAATCACTTTCAAATTTGCCTCTATTTTAAACACACACACGTCGCCTGTGGGGATTCTGTAACGTTCAAATCAAATTATCCACTCACCTTATTTCCCATCAGATGAAAGGGAAATAGCGAAGGAACAAATGTAAGGATAGGATGTCCACAAATTATTTTCACGTGGGAAAGACACATGTCGTAGCAAGGCCATTCCCGCGGTGAATTCTTCACTTCGTTCAGAACGAGGGTATATCGAAGATTTGGTTATTATGAACTCTGTCGCAACTGACAACTGTAACATCCACTGGTAATTATTTTACTAGTCAAAAAGATCCTGGTTACCGCGCCCATTGTATCCCACCTAGCAAAGAGCATAGTGGAACTGTTGCAGCTGCTTTCCTGTTGAAGAATATCTAACATAAGAGTAATCCTTTGCATTGAATAATCTTCTTCTTAAAATGACCACCACATTCGCCTTTCTTTCAAAATCGTAGTAGTGGCCTGAATGCCTGCGTGAACTGTACAATGGCTATCGTTAGTCAACCTATGTAAGTGCCAAAGCTTTTATCCTCCCAAACAAGAGCTGCACCAGTTAATCGACCCCGGTGGGATGGAAGACTTGGTTGAACAAGGCGGGTATCGATGCGTAATTCCATCCACGAACCATGCGTACGTAATAGTGCGCCACTTGCCGCTACACCATCTTCACCTTGGTAGAGAACAAAGATCTTTCCGTGATGGGCGGGGCGTGCTTTAGGAATACAGCGTTTATGGTTTAGTTCATTTACAGCGAAAAGATCTGTTTAGTTAGCCGTCGCCTAAATACATCATTCTTCTCACACATAAAAATCAGAACTGGGCAAAGAATTGCTCGAAATGCGCATGTCCAAGTGCGGATCAGTCAATACATAGTATACCCACAAATCCCAAGTCCCCACTCATAGTGGGCAAAGCATGCATTCAAGCGAGAGTGTTTAAAAAACAATTCACAGCTAACGACTGGTTCATGGTGAGTGCTGCGTACTCAGCATAAGGGGGCTGGTACAATTCGTTCCCGATGGTGTGATCGGTATCAATTGAAATCAACTATGTCTGCATGAAAATGAATAATAACTACCAATATGAAGCCAATATGTCTAGGAAAGTAAAATTTTGCAAAGCAAAAGGTCAGATCGAAGTTACCGACCGTTCATCATTACTCGCGTAATAACACGGGATGCGATAAAATAGTATTCAGGTAAGGGTCGAAGTCTGATCAAGGTCTGAAGGTAAAGGTGGAATTCATTCACAGTCGCATTAACACACCAATCGTACACAACGACAACAACGGGTGCAATCGCCCTATAAACAAACACAAGTAAGAACGAAAAGATTATTTAAAAAGTAGAGCGGCAGTAGTTAGTGGGCCGATAAGAAATTGTAGTGTCAACCAATATTTGGAGTTGATGTTTATTAATCTTGCTGAAGAGCATTTTGGTAATGAACTAGGTCATGTGGCGTAACGATAGGTCCATATGCGTGCCATTTTGTCGAAATCGGCTCGATTTTCGCGATATTGCTTGGCGATAGAAGGTACCAAAGCTTCATCTGAATCAACGAAGAACTATAGTATGGTACACAAACAAGTCCTTGAAAACGGACTCAGATTTTAGTAAATGAATGTAGAAATGACATGGCACTTATTAGAAATCGGAAAATTGAGAACTGGAAGACTTCATCGACTTCTCGCCTATAGTGCTCCTTGCCTCTCAGGAACGAAAATGCATATATCCACATTTTTTGATCTATCACCATTATTGATAAAAAATATAATATGCAATTACGCATGTTCGCTCATACAATAAAGGGTTCGAGAAAGATATTAGTTTTTTTTTAATAAATGAAAACCTGGATTGCAGCTGTACATAAGCGACATCAACGCCATCATGACCGTTCGAACCGTCATCGTTGATTCCCACTTTTCATTCAAAATGTCGATACAGACCTGATGTTATCAATGTTGCGACGACAGCCGACTATCAAAAACGGACTTACTGCTGGTTTATACTCCAACGAACTCTCTTTCGAATCTCAGGAAGGAATTTGCTTCAATACTTATCAAAAAACTAATATGTTGAAAACCCCCTACTTAGCTGAATAACACCAATAATCATCAAAAGAGAGTTCAGAAACACCATAAAAAACACACCTCGCCTTGAGCATTCACATTACAGTGATATATTCTCGTTGAAAAATCTACCTGAAAACAAACATTCATTACCTAGAAGAAACTCAGGTAACATCTGAAATCATGAACAAAAGATATTCCCAATTATTACCTTGGGCGCCAATGTTGGATAGTTCATGGAGAAGTGAATATTACAGAAAAATGTGCCACCTTCATAGACGGTACCAGGCGGTCCTTCCAACACAGCCACCCATTGAAATATGTCGTCTCTCTGGAAACCGCCGAAAGTACCGAGAAAATCGGCGTATACAGAAGTGAATTACCTTCGGGGACACATGACAACCGCCATTGAAATATGTCGTCCCTCTGGAAACCGCCGAAAGTACTGAGAAAATCGGGGTATACAGAAATGAATTACCTTCGGCGACACATGACAACCGATATGTCGTCTCTCTGGAAACCGCCGAAAGTACCGAGAAAATCGGCGTATACAGAAGTGAATTACCTTCGGGGACACATGACAACCGGTTGGAGCTTCCGATCTTATAGTCCGTGACTCCTTTAACAGTCTGGTTATGACAGCGGGTCGATCCTCCCTTCCTACGCCAGCCGGCTTCAGCATACGGGTAGGAAGCATTACACCTACCCTTCGACGCAATACACGTCTCACCTGAATCACCTGAATTCGTACCCATAAGAATCCTTATGATAGCTGTTAAATGTAGAGCTTGCTAAAATATGCGAATAAGCTACTACCGGAGTAGGAGGCCGTGGTGAAGTGCGAGGAGGTGATGAAGGCATCGGGACACTCGGTACGTTCACATCACCTTGAGAGCTAGAAGAAGGTTGAGACGAACTGGCATCAGTTGGAATGACCCGGCCACTTGCTATTACGCCATGTTCACCTCTACGACCTGAAACGTGGAGAATCATAGGAGGAACTACTGATTAATGATTTGTTAGTTAAGAATTGATACTTTGAAATTCTCGCGATAAAACGATGTGATGGGAATGTTGCACTTTCATAATTCTGTTTGCATTTGAAAGCAGCACGAACCTTGATAGAAAGAAATAAGCTCTTCAAAAGTGTTTATTGTTTGAAGTTTACGCCAAATGTAGTTATTTAATTGTGTTCATTCGTTAGTTTTCCGAATGTTCCCAATATTTCCTATTCGTAATCACTCCATTATTGATTCTAGGGTGAGTAATAAGAAAAAGATGTTAGTATAATTTCTTAATATGGAAGAAAGAGATGAACTGGTTTAGAGGAAGAACATGCCGAAAAATACAGTAGTAGCCCCCCGCGAAAATAAACAAAAATATAGTAATGCATTCACCAACCTTGCCCTGGTTGTACAGTCCGTGCTGGGTCGTCAACAAACCTCAGTAGTGAAGCAGCAGCTTGTAAGGAATCAGATGTCGAACGTCCAAGTGGATAAGGCGTTCTTGGATCATTCGAACGCGGCATCAGTGGGTGTAACTGTGAATGAGGGAGCACTCTTTTCACTCAGAAACTGAAAGAGTTACCTACAAAGAAAAATTTTCAAGGATTTCGATTGAGCTTAAGTAATGGCAAAT